AAGCCATTAGGAAAACACAGGGTAGGGGTATACAGAAACCTTCAACACCACCACCATTACATACCACTTTCCCACCAAGCAAACTGAAATGGCCTAATCACCAGAAACCAGACCACCATGCCAACAAGAACACCAAGCTAGGGGGACCATCAACCACCCACTATAAGGGAATCACTCCCTCTGAATTTAGCTACAGAAGGGAAAAAGGGTTGTGTTTCAAGTGTGCTGAACCCTACACTCTAGGACATACTTGCAAACAAGCTCATATTCACTACATAGTAGTGGATGAGCCTACTGAATCTGATACACCATTGGAGGAACAAGGGGAGGATGCTGAAGAGTATAGTGACTGTCCTGAGGGAGGCATCAGCAAAGAGAGCATAGAAGTCTCCATTCATGCCTTAGCAGGGGGAAATAAGCACAAAACTATCAAAATGAGAGGAAGGCTTGCAGGAAGGGAGCTGCTAATACTCATTGATAGTGGCAGTACTCACTGCTTCATGGATGAAAAATTGGCACAGGATTTAAAGCTCCAGACCACTGGTACCACCTTGACAGTAAATGTGGCTAATGGAGAGAAGTTGGGATCCAGACAGCTCCAACAGGAGATAGTTTGGGAAATGCAAGGGCATAAATTCCATCACCAATTCAACACACTCAAACTAGGCAGCTGTGACTTGATACTTGGGGTTGACTGGTTGGCCAAACACAGTCCCATCGAATTTGATTTTCAGCAACTAACTATGAAATTCTTGAAGGGAAGGGAATCAGTGATGCTAAAAGGGGAAGTGGAGAAACTGAAGCTGAAAGCTATCAAGGGAAGCAAACTTGCCAAATGGAGAAGGAAGCAGACTTATGGCATCACTGCTCAAATCTATCTGGTGGAAGAAGGTAGAGGGAACCAGGAGCAAATTCCAACAGCAATGGGAGAACTATTAAAGCAGTTCGAGACTGTATTTTCAGAACCACAGGACATGCCCCCAATCAGGAGCCATGATCATGCCATTCCACTAAAAGAAGGAGCAGCACCATTCCAAATTAGGCCATACAGATCTCCTTATGTACAGAAAGCTGAGATAGAGAGACTGGTCAAGGAGATGTTGCAGATGGGAATCATCCAGACTAGCAACAGCTCTTTTGCATCCCCAGTCCTATTGGTGAAGAAGAAGGATGGTAGCTGGAGATTTTGTGTTGACTACAGACAGCTCAACGAGCTGACAATCAAAGACAAATTTCCAATGCCACTAATAGATGAACTGATGGATGAATTACAGGGCTCCAAATTCTTCACCAAGATAGACTTAAGGTCTGGCTACCATCAAATAAGAGTCAAGGTGGAGGACAGGTACAAAACAGCATTTAGAACTCACCAAGGATTGTATGAGTTCAAGGTCATGCCATTTGGCTTGACCAATGCCCCTGCCACGTTTCAAAGTCTCATGAACCACATCTTCAGGGACCAGCTCAGACAGTATGTTCTAGTCTTCTTCGATGACATCCTAGTCTACAGCCCCACCTGGAGTAGCCATATGGAGCATGTTACCACAGTGCTGAACATCTTGAGGGAACATCAGCTCTATGCTAAAAGGAGCAAATGTTCATTTGCTCAAACAGAGGTGGAATACTTAGGCCACATTATCTCTGATCAAGGAGTAATGGCTGACCCCAAGAAGGTAGAAGACATGCTGGGATGGCCAAAACCAACTACAGTTAAGCAACTAAAAGGATTTTTGGGATTGACAGGATACTATAGGAAGTTTGTGAAGGGTTATGGGACCATAGCCAAGCCACTCACTATGCTGCTTAAAAAAGATGGGTTCCTATGGAATGCAGAAGCTGATGAAGCATTTCAAAGACTCAAACTAGCAATGAGCAACACCCCTGTGCTGGCATTGCCTGACTTCACCAAACCATTCGTGATTGAGACTGATGCCTGCTATGGAGGGGTGGGAGCTGTACTGATGCAGGACAAGAGGCCCTTGGCGTATCTAAGCCAGAGCCTAGGACCTAGGAACCTGGGGCTCTCCATTTATGAAAAAGAGCTATTGGCTCTGGTGATGGCAGTGGTTAAATGGAGGCATTACCTGGAGGGACACCACTTCATAATAAGGACTGACCACCAAAGCCTCAAGTATCTACTCGATCAGAGGGTCACTACTACCCTTTAATAGAAATGGCTCACAAAGTTACTAGGATTAAGTTATGAGATACAATATAAAAAGGGGAGGGAAAATGTGGTTGCTGATGCCTTGTCTAGGAGAGCGAGCAGTGAAGAGGGGGACTGCACTGCATTAGTTTGTGTCATTCCAGAACGGATACAGGAGGTGATGGACAGCTATAAAGGGGATGCACAAACCCAGGATCTCATCAGGCAACTACTTCTTGCTCCTAACAGCCAACCAGATTTTACTTATCAAGATGGTGTGGTTAGATATAAGGGAAGGATTCTGGTGGGCTCAGAAGGGAATATAAGGAGGAAGATCATTACTGCAATACATGATTCACAGCTTGGAGGTCATTCTGGAATCCAGGCTAGTTACTTAAGGGCCAAGCAATTATTCCATTGGACTGGTATGCACAGGGATATCAAGGATACAATTTTACAATGTGATACGTGTAGGAAATGTAAGGATGAGCACACTGCTTATCCGGGCCTTTTGCAACCTCTCCCTATACCACAATATTCATGGAGTCATGTCACAATGGATTTTATTGAAGGACTGCCAATATCTGAGAGAAAGGACACTATCATGGTAGTGGTGGATAGATTCACTAAATCAGCACATTTCATCAGTCTCTCACACCCTTTTGATGCACCAACAGTAGCTAGACTCTTCCTAGATCACATCTGTAAGTTACATGGGGTTCCTTTAAGCATGCTGTCTGACAGGGACAAAGTGTTCACCAGTCACTTCTGGACTGAGTTATTCACCTTGATGGGTACAGAACTGAAGTTAAGTACTGTCTACCACCCCCAAACAGATGGCCAATCTGAAAGGGTGAATCAGGTGCTGGAAATGTACTTAAGGTGTATGACACACTTGGAGCCAAAGAGATGGAGTGCATGGCTCTCCCTTGCTGAGTGGTGGTATAACACTGCCTATCACATAGCTATCCAGATGAGTCCATTCGAGGCTCTATATGGAATGGCCCCCCCACAGTTGGCATTAGGACCCTACTCTCACTCTAGAGTAGCCACAGTAGAGGATCATTTGAAGGAACGACAGAGGATGGATGAGACTCTCAAAAGAAACCTGCAGGAAGCTCAGGATAGAATGAAGTTTTATGCTGATCAAAACAGAAGCGAAAGGTCATTCATTGTGGGAGACTGGGTCTACTTGAGGTTGCAGCCATATCGACAAATGTCAGTGGACCTAAGGAACAACACCAAGCTGTCTGCTAAATACTTTGGTCCCTACCAGGTGATCCAGAAGATAGGAGAAGTAGCTTATAAACTTAAGATGCCTGAAGGGTCCAAAATCCACCCTGTGTTCCATGTGTCGTTACTGAAAAAAAAGATTGGGGAGAAGGCAACTCCTGTCCTCCAGCTTCCAAACCAGGATGAGAAGGGACATTTGAGGGTGGCTCCAACAGCCATTCTGGATCGCAGGAGCATCAAAAGGAGGAATGCGGCAGCAGTACAGTGGCTCATCCACTGGTGGGGAACCACTCCTGCTGAAGCTACCTGGGAGGATGCGGAGAAAATCAGGGAGGAGTTCCCTGAATTTCAATCTTGAGGACAAGATTAATGGAAGGAGGAGCAATTGTCATGGAGCAGAAGATTAGCTAAGAACAAGCTGAAAGCGTGAACCTAAGTATCGCGCCTTTATGAAGTAGCTGTAAACAACTGAAGACGTGAAATCTGATATCACGTTTTAGTAAGAAAGAAGACGTGAAAGGCAAAGGAGCAGGGAATCAAAAGCGCGGAATCAGGAACACGCCCTTTCTGGTAATCAGCTCAATCAACGTGAGCTCAACAAGCAAGTGGTTCTGTAACAGATTCCGTTAACCACTCACATGGCCAAGTGGATTAGAAACGCCAAAGAAGTTAGTTGTTAGCTAGTGATATATATATAGATAGAATCAGAAGCAGAAAGGCAGCATTGAGTTAGTCATTACTGGGATCATTCCCTAGCATTCTTTCTGTCTGTTATTTCCTTCATTCTTATCATTTCCTCTTCTTTACCACCAATTCTGTAATCTCAGATTCAGAACATATCAATACTATTCGATTGGATACTTATCAGAACTTTATTGATTTTCATGTTATCAATCTTAAGTCCAGTACCTTTATTCAATCAATTTCATTGGAAACAACTCTATTGCCTAGTTACTGTTTGATACCATCACATGCTACTAGTAATAGAATGGAACCTTTTGATTTTGAAAAACGAAATTGCACGATTCTTGGGTTGAGGGAAAAGATTTCTACTTTTTTCATACCTTAATTGCAACAAGCAAGAGAAAAAATATATTGAAGATGTAGAAGGGACAGATACTTAAATTGATGAAGAAAGATGAAATTTGTGCGGACAGAAGCCCAAAGATGAAGATTATGGTTTTAAATGGTAAGGATAGAGTAGGGGAAACTTACTTTAGTTTCTTTTTTTTTTCTTTTTTTTTGGACATGATGTAATTTGAACTTCTCCATCTTTAGCAACCTTTATTGGATTTTTAGGTCAAACCATAAAATTCTGGTTTATACTCATCTTAGCAGCATCCATATGTAACTTTGTATTAGCCTATTAGGGGTGCTCATATAATCTCTTTAGGCTAAAGTGAAATTTAACAAAAAAAAGTGGTAAAGTATCATAATTTTTATTGTCTTGCCTGTCAATAGTTTATATGCACAGGGGTTTTGGTGTGGATCAATCTATCCAATTTCCTAATTTCTGTTTGTTTGCATTATTGCATATCTGCACATGGGTTCTGCTGCCAATTACTCTTTTTGATTTCCTAATTTCTGGTTGGTTTACCAGTTGTGGAAACCATTCAGTTCTAGATATCACAGGTGCTCTTTTATCAACCTGGAGCTAGCCTAGCCAAGAAACTTACCAGCAGAAATTCAAATTTCCAGGTATATATATGTTCCACCCCTGTTAATTTATGTCCATTTTCAGAATATCTTGCTGAAAAATACAATTATTCTTCTTCGATTCGTTTCGTAGACATTCATTATCTTCCTTCAACCTTAGAACTCCCTCCTAGAGTATCACTCCACCAAAATCCTTCCACCACATCTCTTGCCTGTCCTCAAAATTGCCTTTGATGAAGGAAAAGACTATTTTCTTGACCTTGTAATTTATGATTTTCTACAACCTTGGGCAGCAGCTGTGGCTCGAGAAGAGAGCATCCCATCTGTACTTTTCCTAGTTAGTGCTGCATCAACTTGTGCCTTCTTCGAACACTGCTGATTGTCCCACTTTGGATTACCCGTTTCAGGAGCTGAATTTGCCACAAAAAAAAAACGCATCAGGAGCTCGTGCAAGTCATGTATAATGTGTCAAATGGTCTCACAAACAAGGAAAGATACTTCCAATGCATTGAGAAATCTTCAAATTTTGTACTGGTTAAGACATTAAGTGAGATCGAACAGAAACATATCGATTATTACTCTCTGAAGATCAAAAAAGAGGTGATCCCTGTGGGTCCTCTTGTTCAAGAACCTGAAAATAGATCAAGTGATATGGTGTTCTTGGAGTGGCTGAGCAAAAGGGGTCCTTCTTCTGTTATTTTTTTCTCATTCGGGACCGAATATTTTCTCTCCAAAGAAGAAATTGAAGTGATTGCTTATGGTTTAGAATTGAGCATGGTGAGCTTCATATGGGTGGTTAGATTTCATGGAAGAAAAAATGTCACTAGTTTGCCAGAAGGATTTCAGAAGAGGGTAGCAGAAAGAGGTATGGTTGTGGAAGGTTGGGCGCCACAAGTGAAAATACTGGGCCATCCAAACATTGGAGGATTCGCGAGTCATTGTGGTTGGAGTTCAACACTTATAGCATTCGATGTTCCAATTATTGCAATGCCTATGCAGCTTGATCAGCCCCTGAATTCAAGATTGGTTGCGGAGCTTGGTGTAGGAATTGAAGTACGAAGGGAAAATGGAAAATTCAGAGAAGAGATTGCATCGGTGATCAAACAAGTTGTCGTGCAAGAAGAAGGGAAAAAAGTCAGAAAAAAAGGTTAATCTCTTTTAAGTAGCAAGTTAAAGGAGAAGGTACTTACCCAAAAAAAGGACAAAGAAGAAGAAGATGGTGAAGAAGCTTCTGCAGCTTGTTAAGGAGCGATCATCAATTTTTGCATTATTCAGTGTAAGACAAGGGATTTGTATGTGTCATTTTACAATAAACTTCATTGCTTTTAATGTCTTAGCAATCTCTGCTCTCATTCCAACCATAACTCTTCAAACCTTCGGAAAACCCCCAAAAAGAGAGACACAATTGCAAACATTATGGCCTGTCAAAAGCAGCATCACACGCGCATAAATTTCACCATTCAGACATATATTTGGGCCATCTGTTAATCGAAATGTAGATATTAAAAGAAAAAGCTTTACCAGGATTACCAAATGAAGAGTTTCCTTCCATGCCCTCGAGATTCATCACAAGGAATGGACATACAAGAGCCCAGACATGAGAGAATGGTGGAGGAAACAGGAGTATCAAAGTCTACACAGTATTATGTTAAAAAAAAAACGAATATAACGCTGTGAAATATCAATTTTAGGAGGAAAGAGTTGCATATATATATATCTCCTTGACATGTAATATCTTATACCATGCCAGCAAAAACAAGATAACCGGAAGGCTGTCAGAGTCCAACTGTCTAGACGCTGGATTGAAGAGCAGTTTCAATTTGACATAAAAGTTAATAAAGATTTACCTGAAATAAAGTTTCAATTTGACCATATCACCCTGATTATCTAGAAAATCAATCATGAATGAAGTTATAGAATGTGATGGCCAAAAAGAACGGATGCATAATGAAACAATTTCACACTAATACAGCTTCTTGAGAATAGTAGCTTCTCAGACAAATAAGACAAAGTGAAACTATTAACGATGTACAAAACAGCATTAGAAAGGGGGAAACTTTCTGTTCCTAGTTCCTACTGGTTCTCGTCCTTCGTCAATTATGATTAAGATGTTAAGGCTTTCTCTATAAAAGATTTTCATCCCTTGAGTTCACAAAATCAGTGAAATGAAATTGTATCATCTCATGCGCAGGTTTGGCTTCGAAACCTCAAAGGAGTACATGGGTCGGGAAAAACATAGTAAGAGTTTCTGGCTCATTTTGGAACTTCCAAAGCCAACTAGCAAGGCACTACCAGTTGTAACAAACCAACAACAAAAAAGATTGAAGCATCGTGCCGCTTTGCAGCAAACTTCAGCTTAGTTCCACCGAAAAACCAAGCTGCTCGCGAGCAGCTCAAGCTTGATACACTCAAAAACTTGACACCACTTGACCGTAACCAATCACTTGAGCGCATATTCCAACCAAACTCAAGTTGGATACTCGGCTAGCAAAGTTGTTGAAGCTAATTTCTTCATGTATATTATACATTTCCAAAAAACAATATTTTACTGGTATACTTACTAAATTAAGCTCGGTTAAAAAACAAAAATACTTTACCAGCTGCTCCAACTCAAGTTCCAGTGCACTTGAGCACCCAAGATTAAAAGCAATAATTGACTACTCCGAACTCTAGTTTGACCATGCTCAAGTGCTGATCAATCCTATTCGAGCATAGCAGAACCTCATCCGTTTATTGGTTGAGACACACTCAAGCTCGACCTAACCACATTGCCCCTTCAATTCAAAATGAACTACTTGAAACCAATTTAATTCACATGCAGACATTATAAAAACACAACATCAATTACAACCGTCATTTATAATCCGCAATTCACAATGATGAATGATCCCACCAAAAATGCTGCAAGTAACATTCACATTGCAATAGAAGTACTAATCTCACAACAAAAATTGATAACTTTTCTAAAAATATCTTACAGGAATAATAGCAGCATCCCGAAAATGTTTAGCTGTAAATTCAACGTTCGGGCTGATTGCCCCCAACAAACAATGTGGCAATCCTAGCCAAACATCCATATCAACAAATACAAAACAGGGAACACTAAAACTAACACATTAGCAATCAAATATAGTAACTATTTAACTATTAAAATGAAAACTAAACAGACCCTGGGCACGTTATTAGTAAGAACATCTAATCCCTAGTATACCTGTTAAAACACGGCCAAAGAACAAATTTCCCAAAAAAGAAAAAGAGACGAGTTAATTTATAAAGCTTTACACGAAACCCAGAAATAAAAATTTAAGCTTTCAGTTTTGTGCTTACCTGCATGGAGTCGGCGTTGATGATTTAGCATGTTTGGAATTGCCAGACCCGGTTGCTCCCCATGATTACCAGTATTGTTTGGACTTTAGACCCGAACTTGAATCCGGGTTCGGGTTCAGTTATATGGGTTGAGCGGGTGCTGGAGATTCTGGTTCTCTGCCACCTGCCCTTGCTTCTGCGCAGCCGGCGCAGAACATTTTGGAGGTAAGCAGTAATGGCGAAAGCGAAATTTCAAGGGGTCGAAAGTCATAAAAGAAAAAAATTAAGGGTTTGTATTTCTAATATTGGCCTTTTTATTTTTATGATATTGGTTTCAATCTTTACTAAAATTGTACTAATGTCCTCTTTAAGTTTCTCATTTCAAGAAAAAGAAAAGATATCCTTTACTAATTTTATTGCTTATGAAATTGTAGTTGAAATTTGAATGTAAAGGTTTGTAAACTGAAGGCGACTATTTTTTTGAGCTTTATTTTGTACGCTTTCTCGAATCATTTTAAAGATTTTCAAGTTTGTAACAGAGTTATTTTACTTAACATTTTTTACATTATTCAAGTACTTTTTATAAACTCGGATTGTGTTTAATGAATTGCTATTAGTTATAGATTGGAACCTTTTGATTTTCAAAAAAGATACTCGAAGTTCTTTAGTTGAGAAAAAAAAAAGATTTCTACTTTTCTATTCGTACATTAATTGCAACAAGCAAGAGAGACATTGGAAAATTGGTAGAAGGGATAATATTAATTTGATGACCGAAAATGATAATTGCCGAGGAGAGAGCGGAAAAAAATAATGAATTTCTGGCCCTCCTTTTTTTGGACATGGTGTAATTTTAATTCTGAACTTCAATCTTTTGCAACATTTATTGGCCTTTTAGGCGAAACCTTAATAAGGTTTTTTGTCGATTGATTATTTTAGTTGATTACAGATTTTGATCATGATTAATCAATTTTTGAAATGTTTTCATTTGATATTGTATTTAGACTATAGATTTTTTAATACCAAAAAAAAGTTAAAATTTATAATTATCCAAAAAGCAGCTTTTACTTATTCTAATTAGTTTCTATAACAACTTACCAAAATTAAATTTTGCAAAATCTAAAACAACGAGAACAAGGGCATAGTAACCACTAAGCTTAGCTCAGTGGCCACCAGGGAGGGACTTAAATCCCTCTTTGGACTGTAGGTGAGGGTTCAAATCTCATCTACAGCAAAAAAAATCTAAAGGTAGTGCCATAGCACTCTCTTAGTCTAGTTGAGTCTGTATACCCACTAATCCCTAACACAAGCCTCTTCAGACTCCCAAAAAAGAAAAAAGGGCCATAGTCTTGTTCATAGTCTAATGAGTATCAGCCAATGCCCAATGGCCATGTTCTCTTATTCTATGAACTTCTATGGGTAAATTACAATTTACCAAAATGGAATGACGTGTCATAATTTGTATTGTCCAGGCTGGTCAACAGCGCATTGTTTCGGCTGCTGCTTCCGGTTGGTTCACTCCGCCGCCGAACCGAATTGTTAATGCTCATCTATTAATCAATCTGCAGTAGAAGGGGAAGACCATTCTAGAGATCATAGTGGCTATTTTGTGCTACCTTGAAAAGTCCAATCCGAAATTAACCACTTCTCTAAGAAATCATCCATCGCTGCTGAGGTTTGAGATCAAATTATGGACTCAAAAGAGGATGTTATACGGATTTTGATGTTGCCATGGTTGGCACATGGCCATGTATCGCCTTTCTTGGAGCTAGCCAAGAAACTTACCAGCAGAAATTCGAATTTCCAGGTATACATATGTTCCACCCCTGTTAATTTAAGTCCATTTAGAGAGAATCTTGCTGTAAAATATGAGCTGTCTTCTTCAATCCAATTCATAGATATTCTTCTTCCTTCAACCTCAGAACTACCTTCTGAATATCATTCCACCAAAAATCTTCCACCCCATCTGATGCCTGCCCTGAAAACTGCTTTTGATGTAGCAAAAGATTGTTTTCTTGATATCCTCAAGGAACTCAAACCTCACCTTTTAATCTATGATTTTCTGCAACCTTGGGCACCAGCTGCTGCTCAAGAAGAGAACAACATCCCATCTGTACATTTTATGAGTTGTTCTGCATCCATTGGTGCCTTCTTGTTTCACTGCACTGAATATCCTGATTTGGATTATCCAATTCCAGAGCTGAATTTCCCAAAAATTACGCGTCAGGAACTAGTGCAGTTCATGTATAATGTGTCAAATGGTCTTACAAACAAGGAAAGATACTCCCAGTGCATTGAGAAATCTACAAATTTTTTCCTGGTTAAGACCTTAAGTGAGATTGAACAGAAACATATGGATTATTTCTCTGAGATGACCAAAAAAGAGGTGATCCCTGTGGGTCCTCTTGTTCAAGAACCTGAAAATAGATCAAGTGATATGGTGTTCTTGGAGTGGCTGAGCAAAAGGGGTCCTTCCTCTGTTGTTTTCGTCTCATTCGGGACTGAATATTTTCTCTCCAAAGAAGAAATTGAAGTGATTGCTTCTGGTTTAGAATTGAGCATGGTGAGCTTCATATGGGTGGTTAGATTTCATGGAAGAGAAAATGTTACCAGTTTGCTGGAAGTATTACCGGAAGGATTTCAGAAGAGGGTAGCAGAGAGAGGTATGGTTGTGGAAGGTTGGGCGCCACAAGTGAAAATACTGAGCCATCCAAGCATTGGAGGATTCGTGAGTCATTGTGGTTGGAGTTCAACACTTGAGAGTCTAGCATTTGGTGTTCCAATTATCGCAATGCCTATGCATCTTGATCAGCCCCTGACTTCAAGATTGGTTGCGGAGCTTGGTGTAGGAATAGAAGTACGAAGGGAAAATGGGAAATTCAGAGAGGAAGAGATTGCAAGAGTGATCAAACAAGTGGTCTTGCAAGAAGAAGGGAAAGAAGTTAGAAAGAAAGTTAGAGAATTGAGTAACAAAATAAAGGAGAAAGGTGATCAAGAGATTGATCATGTAGTGGAGAAGCTTCTGCAGCTTGTCAAGGAGTGATCATGAATTTTCGAATAGCTCAATGTACAATAATCGATTTGTGTACACCATTACCAGGTAAACAACCCCGCTTTTAATGTTGTAGGCTTGTAGCATATTCTCTGCAACTCTATGAAACTTCACAGAACACCTCAAAAGCGAAACACGATTTTCAATAGGAAAAATTGTCAATTTAGTCCCTCACATTTTTGAAAAGAAAAAAAAAAAATTTTAGTCCTCGCATTATTAACCAGCCAAAATAGTCCCTCAAATATAGAAATTTTACCTGTTTGGTCCTAGAGCTCATTTTTTTCTCAATTTTCCAGCCAAAAAACGAGTGCCTAACTTATGTGCCCATAATTGTCAAGGCAAAATGGAACACTCAGATTTTCATTTCAGTAGTTCCAAAAAAAATCCCAATTGTATCGAACTTTCCATTTTTGGAATGGAATATTTACGGAATCTCCATTCGTGATCCGCTGCCGAACTTATTGCAATTCCAAGAGCTCGGATCGAATCGGTATATCAATCACTTTCCACTCCTTCTTCCGTTTTTGAGGTTTCTTTCAGTTTCTTAGTAAGAATGGGGGACGAAGACCATATCAACAGGTCTTCCATCTTGCAAATAAGGCATATCTTGTCTAGTCAAAATTTTTGAAATAATACCCTTATTTCCGTGTCTTCCAGCTACTTTATCGCCTACTTTACGTGTAACCAACTTGTTGTTAAGAATATTGCATAAAAAATTAGTAGAAAAAGAGGTACAATGTAAGAATCTTCATTGGTACGTAAAAGTGATTGTCTATCACCACTGATACTAGGCCAAGAGCATACCGAGTAAAAACTTTCACAACCGTTTGGTCAAAATGAGATCCTAATTTGCACGAGCAATAGATCTTACGTGTAAAGAGTTTGTTGGATGAAAATTGAGGGAAATGGAAAATCATATGTGTGTTTTTTAAATTTTTGGTCAAGGAAAATGAATTTTATTTCCATTTTGTCCTTGAAATTATGGACACATGAGGTAGGCATGCATTTTTTGACAGAAAAACTCAGAAAAAAAAAAGAGCTTTGGGACCAAATACATAAAATTTATAACTGAGGGATTCTTTTGGCTGATTTTACATATGAAGGACTAAAAAAAATTTTCAAAAAAGTTAGGGACAAATTTGGCAATCTTCCCTTCTCAATATTTTCGTTGGTGGTAGTTTACTATACTATGTTGTTCTGCTCCGTCTCTTGCTGTTGCTCCAATTTTCCTCACCAAACCACAGAGAGTGTAAGTCCCAAAATGCTGGTTAACCTTTAATTCCAGTCAACACAAAAGATTTATCTTGATCATTGACCAACTATTGGTCAAGCCAAATTGTTGATAATTGGCCAACGGGCACGTCCCTGGTAGAATTAAAAATGCCTATCACTTCCACATCATATACATTTATTTTGCTACTAGCATTTAATTGTGAGAGTCAATTGAGACTGGTACAAATGAGACTTAGGATGATGAAGACTTAAAAAGTCAGCCTGCATTTTGAGAATTAAAGGTATATGAAGATTTATCCAATCCTTAATGCCAGTCAATTTCAATTCATGTTGGTGTCAATGAGAGCCAATCACAAACATTGTGGACTTCACAAACTCGAGCCAGTCAATTAATATACATATAAATTAAAGCCTAACATAAAAAAAAACTTATAAATACATTGAAAGGGCTAATTCCAATTCTTAATTCCAATATTTATTATCAAGAGAGAAAATTGAAGAGGTGTGACTAGCTTATGGGTTAGAGCTGAGTATGATGAATTTCTTGTGGGTGCTTAGGTTTCACAGAATGGAAACGCTTGTACCAGTTTGATGAAGTATTTATTACCTGAAGGATTTGTTGAAAAGGGTTGCAGAAAGAGCTATGTTGTGGAAGGTGTGGAAAAAAATAGCGAAAACAATTTTAACTAAAATTAATAAAAATAAAGCTTGAGTCGTACTTAATAGCACTGTCTTAAGAAACTATTTCAAGAGGTTGAAATATTTTTCTAAGATTAAACAAGCCTTCTTCTTGGTAAAATAAAAAAGGATCAGAATCAGCAAATGTTGTGTAAATCCAGCAGAGAGGAGAAAGGGAGAAGGAGGAGAGGAAGAGAACTGCCCGAAAGATTTATACAATAAGCTTTGAGTGCACTTTTTAAAGTGGGAGCAGCGGTATTTAGAGGTTTCAGAAAGTGTACGTTGGAGCAGCCTT